CCGCCGATGATAATGCTGACGAAGAACATGCATATGATAAACATCGCCGCGTAGATGATGTCGGAACTGATGGCCGATATCATCAGACCAAAGGTGATGCCGCAGAAGCCTTGGGACAGCGCCAGAGCGATGACCGCCGATAGGGAACAGTTGAGGGGCCGATGGAAGAGCAGGTGTGGCATCAAAAGCATGAATGATATTTGCATCATAAGTATCAGGAATTGGGTCAACGCGTGCGACAACAGGAACTCAAAGGCCGTCACTCCGGCCACGAGTGAGCGCTCGATGAGACCGTCGCGACGCTCGTCCATAATCAGGTGCGATGTGACAGCACTGGTGGCGAAGAAGGCCAACAGTATGTAACAGCCGGGCAGCACGTAGTCCCTCATGGACTCGTCCCGATGGCCGTACACGGGCTGTTCAAACACCATGGGCACTTTGATGGTGTCCGGGTTGATGTTGGACCGCACGGCCACCTCTTCGGCGAACCTCTTCATGCCGTCGTAGAAGTTGCGCTCAATTTGGGCGCCGATCGCCTGATTGGACCAATCAATGTGTATCCGTATCTGACTGTCTTCAATGGTCTCTTCGTCGGCATCGTTGCCGTAGAGGTGTCTCAACCGAAGCGCCGCAGAGAATCGGTCGTTAATCTCGACGGCAGCGTACGAGTGGCCCGACTCTACCGATCCGATGGCCGCCTCGAAGGAGTCGTAATGTTTGATATTAAAGGTCCGATTGTCCAGACATTGGAGGAATAGTTCGCCCCAATTGTTGGTGCGATTGTTACGCGACTCTTCGTCAATGACGGCCAGATTGAGGTCTGTCGGCCCGGAGCTGATACTGATCAACAAGAGGGCCACCTGTAGGGCCGGGAGTACTATGAAAAACAACAATTGACCCCAATTTCGGCTCAAACGCCGGAAATTCTTCCTCAACAGCGCCGAACATCTTTGAGTGAACCATCTTTGAAGTTTTTAATGCTGAGGACAGTCTCCGCATTGGTTCCAGTGGTGGACAGCAACAGCTTTTCGGTGACGTCCAGTGCTGTCGCCACTGATGTGTTGTTGACTGTCTTTGTGGTGACAACACTCTCATCAGTTATCTTAATGTAAACACAATTATTGTGTTTAATATTATTATGGATATTGTTATCGCTTGTTATGCCATTCATATCCAGACTTTGATCCGTACTTTTATTATCACAATCAGCACTTCCGGCGCTGCTCTGCAGTATCAACGACGACGACTTCGAACTCGAGTTCACCGACGGGACAGTTGTCGTGCCGGTCGTGTCCTCCTTCTCCTCCAGAGATAATTGGTTTTCGTAATATATTTTTGTCTCTTTTTTATCACTCGTGAGAAGCGATATGTCGTCCGAATTGTTGCCAATCTTGCCGTCCAAATGACACAACCGGAGAAATACGTCCTCCAAACTGGTCATCAGGTATTTGTCGAGCAATAGGTTGGGGTTGTCTTCGGCCAGTATTTTGCCGCACCTCATGAAGGCCACTGTGTCCGCACTGCGCGCCTCCTCTATGTAATGTGTGGTCAAGATTATGGTGAGACCCGAGCGGCACAACCACTTCAAGTGATACCATATTGTCTGCCGCAGTATAGGATCGGTGCCCACCGTTGGCTCGTCCAGTATTAATAGCGGCGGAGAGTGTATGAGAGCACAGGCCAGGGATGTCCGCCTCTGTTGGCCGCCCGATATTTTTCCTGTTGTTATTTATTATATTAATTTAATTAAATTGTTATTTTTGATTAATATTTTTAGTTCTTATGTAACTTATTATTAGTGATTATTTTTATTTATTTGTTGTTTTATGTTAAAGTTTATTAATTATAATTTATATAAATTATTGTTTTGTCGATATTATTGCTTTATATTAAATATTAACAAAACTAATTTAATTATATTTCAATTCTAATAAATAGTAACTATTGAATATCATATCAGGAGACACACAAACTTTCACTATTATAATCTGCAGTTATAAATAAATGAATAATCAATTTTTAAATTTATTTTGTCTATCAATGCAAAGTAATATCACTTAAAATTTTCCAAAAATATTTGTACCACATACAGTATATTTAACAATTTATTATAATAATTAGTATCCAAAGTATAGTTATAATAAATTATATTGATTTAACTATTTAGATTGATTGGTCCATAAAATTCAGTGTAAATTATGTCATATGTTAAAGACAAATATTATAATATGATATTTTTTGATATTTAAAGACCCATAAATTAAATTATTTTTAAAATAATCTTGATATTAAAGTCAATTACATTTTTATTTGCTCGTACAGATGAAATGCACATTAATATCAGGTTTGTTTTAAAAATAATATAACTTATGGGTTTAGAATTAAATTAAAATATCATGTTATATCTTTAAAACGCATTATAGTCAAGTAGTAATTGTCATTACATTCAATCTTTGTCAATTATTTCCCAGAAATCCTACGAAAAATACATAATGACTGCATTAAAGGACATAATAATTGACAGCAAAAGTCAAGTACTTGTAAACGGAAACTTATTATGTGATAAAATAGAGTCTGTTTGGCATAATTATTGAATAATAATGCTTAAATTAAAGTAGTTATATACATGTACAGTATATATTTATATATAGATTTAATTTTATTTATATTTTATTATAAATACCAATTAATGTGCTTTTCTTTGGCAATTGTAACAAATTTATGAGTTCCTGGATTTTGGCCTCAATTTCCCGGCAATTCATAGCAAATATTCTGCCGAAATATCTGAGAAGTTCCCCAATTGTGAAATCCTGGTATAGGGCTATCTCTTGGGGCATATATCCGACACCGGCTCCCGGTATATGACATTTGCTCGGTTTGTCACCAAATATACATATGTCTCCGCTGTCCGGCTTTAGGCGACCCAATATGCACTTTAATAGAGTACTAAACATATGGTGTATAAATGGCACATATTTTTATTTATGGTTATTTTGTGTAATTATTTTGAGCATTAAATCATACGTTTTGCCGCAACCGCTGGGCCCTAACAGGCCATAGATGCGAGTCCTCGGCACCGATAGCTCGATGTCATCGAGAATGCGATCGCAATTACTATACGAGAAACACAATTGTCTAATACGGACGGCATCTCTATGCGAATCGCTGCCAATCATCTCTTATTCAGTTAACACATAATTCATTGAATATACAGTAATAATAATATGCAAACAAAATCACTGTTTAGTTGTCAAAATTCAAATCAAACTTGATAATAAACTAAACAAAACAATACGATTCTTGTATACAAACAGTAAGAATTGAATGTCAATGAAATATTCAGACAACAATCACAATAAAAACCAAGAAATAAATTAAATTCTTTAGAAAAAAACTTGTTTTTCAATTCACCAGTAGTTGTGATAAACACCAGTGAGAAAAATACTCACAGAAAAATATATATTATATAAACATATCAACAAAAACTGCTGTTCACTATATATTTATACCATGTATTATATAATACGTGAGCGCCTATGAGAATGCCTATGGATCTCCACCATTGATCCGATGCCCTCAGTCTTAAGTATTGGATCCCAAAACCTGCGCATTGAGGATACAGTTGTCTGTTTGTGTCTTGTATTTACTTTCACTGTATATTTTTGTGCAGATAAACAGTCAATTTAATCATATTTTTGCTGATTATAATTAATGGTATTTATAGTTAATGATTGATTGATAATACAATGCCATCCGTTGTCTTTCTATGGGAATAAACTGAATACACATTTACGGTCATTTCATCTAATCTGATGTATTCAACTTTTATGATGATGAAAATATTCATTTAGCATATGCTAATTCTCTCATTATATGCATTCTGTAGTTATTCTATATATAAATATTATAGCATTAATAATAGCAAACTTTTTTGCTTAATATTCTGTATGTTTGCTATAATAGGGCTGTTGTGCCGATGCTGTTGACAACGGGCGGTTTGCTCTGCACTTTAAAACAAAAATTGTTAATTTTGCAATCCACCATAAACATTAAACCATAAACCATAAACATTTAGATTTTAATATATTATATTTTATAATCAATTCAACAGTTAAATGTTATCATAACTTTGTTACATAATTATAATTATGGGAATATTAATTACATAATTAACATGCATTTCATGATTTATCTTTATTTATAAATTTTAATCTTTATATAATTTATTAAATTTTGTAAAAATCTTTTACTGTCAACTAATATTTAAATGAATGTTATTAAAAATTAATGATAAATAAAATTAGAAGTAATAAATTAAAACTCCGTCGTTTTAATGCATAACTAAGCAAATTAAACTAGTAATCAGTAATTATTATTCGTTACTAATTAACTAATCATTATGATACATGTATAATAAATAGAACTGAATTAATTAAAACTCTCAAGCATTTTATAAATGAATTATATTTAATAACTTTAAAATATTTTTAGCTATTTTAATAAGTTAACAAGACTAATTTTCTATAAATAAAATATGCCGTTAGAATAACATTTCACTAATTTATCATCAAACTTAAACATCACTTATAATGATAAATACAAATCTGTAAAAACAATTATAATAGTAATCAGTATTTCAAACCGAGTTTGGCCTTCAATTAATCTAATACTGTATTGTATTGATTGTGTATAAATCTCAATGTTTTTAACGTTATCATAAAAAAACAATTATTTTCACACAATTGCTTCAAACATAACAACTATTTAACCATAAAAATCAAATGAACGTGGATAATGAAATCGAAAAATATGTGCCAGCTAGTTTTCCCAAACAAATGGTTAAATTGGCCATCGAGTATATACCGGACAAAAATGACCTCTTTATTGTCTCGTACCCTAAATGTGGCACAACATGGGTTCAGCAGATCGTATACCTATTGCTACACAACGGTATACCACCGGATAAGACACTACTGTTCAGCAAAAGTATACCATTCCTCGAGTTGTGCGCACCGGAACCACCACCTGATGGCCGGGTAGGCACAGAAGGTGGCACTCGGGCGTTCAAATCGCACCTGCCCGGCCATTTGGCACCGTTCAGCCCTCGGGCCAAATACATATACTGCGTCCGTAACCCCAAAGACTGTTTGGTCTCGTTTTGGTATCACGAACGCGATTTCCCGCTCCTTCCCGACTGTCCCGACTTTGACCACTTCTTCGCGGCGTTCACCGACGGCCGCACCGGTTATGGCCACTACTGCGACCACTTGATTGGTTGGTACGATCGGAGCCGCGTCAGCGATAATGTGCTGATCGTTCACTTCGAGGATCTAATTGATAACATTGGCGAAGAAGTCCGACGAATGGCCCGATTCATCGGCGGTGAGCATCTGTACGGCCGTCTGGTGTCGGACCCGACGTTCGCCGAAAGTGTCCTAAAGTATAGTCGATTTGATTTCATGAAGACGTCGACCAACGGACAGATCAAACACTTTTTCGACATGTCTTTAAATGATATGGAAAGCGATGACCAGATTCTGGACGGTTTTAAGGACGCGTTTCGGCCGATTAAGGGCCAGAAGTCAGTCGATATCGCGCTCGAAGTGAATCACATTCGGCGAGGAATTGTCGGTGACTTTCGGACACATTTTAGTGATGAACAAAACAATGTGATGAATGAGATAATTGGTCACCGATTGGCACACATTCCCGAACTCATAGACAAATGGAAACCTTATCATAATTTATAACCAATTAATTTAAAACTACACTTAAAGTTGTGTTTGTAATTGAAAATACATTTATTAATTATGGAAATACAATATATGATTAACCATGCTTAAGTTTTAATAATAAATTTCTATACAAAATTGTCACATTAAATGAAACCAATAGATTAACATTAATTGTACTTAAATTTTACTGAAAATAATTAGTTATAATTATATTAGTGTTTGATTTACTAACCGTTTGAAAGCATTAATTATCAAAATTATCAAAATTTATGGTCAATTGTGTGAGAAATTAATTGTGATTAAATGGTAACTGATTTCATGCAATACAATCATCAAATCGTACTCAATATTCAACGAATGGTAAGTACTTCTTGTTGTGAAAAATTGGTCTTATGTTTGGCTTAACTCTGGCCGTCGCTGTCTTGACCGGAGTGTCCGCTGGTTTCGCACGTATTGTATCCAAATACTCGAGGTTGAGCTCAGCCAACAGATCCGCTATCATTCCGACCATACTGAACAGCAGGTAGACAAGTCTGTTTGATGCCAAGGCTGGCGAAGATTGCCGTGGGCATAACTGTGAAGGCATTGGCAGTCTGTTTGGCATTTTGGGTTAGCGGCACAATAGCCGGTTACGTTGACCAGAGTTAGACTCAGAATACGAACCGAGTCGTGGCCGTAGAGGAGTCGTGGCCCAAATGGATGTCATTGCCGGCAAAGAAGTAACTGTTTTATTAGCGACTTTAGGCCATTGACTCTTGGGCTGCGCCAATACGGGTGTCGAGCCCTCGTTATTAACCACTTTGGCGTAACTCTTATACTCTTTACCGCCCGGTAACTGACCGGTGCTATCGTTGAGGCTATAATCGTTGGCCTTCGGGTACGACTCTCTCCAGACATTATTAGCCAACGATTTGGTAACAAATGGTTTACTTTTGGTTTTAAAGTCCATTTTCCAAATCGATTCAATCGGATCGTAATGGCGGTCATTATCGCCACCACTATTGGCCACTCGTTGGCCGCCACTGCCTGTCATCGTAGCGGCGATATCCTGAAGAGTGATCGGCCGACGGGAGGACTCTTCGCGCTTAACCAACGCTTGTATCGCACACTTCTGGCCAACTTTCGGATAGCTGTCGGCGTAAATGTCTTCACAACCCTTCTGGTGATCAACGGATCCTTTGGGGAAGTGTGAGCACAAACTATTGACAAAACAACACATCCATTACCACCGATTTTAGTTAATGAATGAACAAAATTATGTCCATATGATCAATAAAATCAATTGATTGTGGTTACCATTGGTGACCATAACATACCTGATGTCCGGATTGGCCGGCAATTGGCCGGCGATTGTCTCGGCACTCGACGTCCGACTCTTATTCTTCCACTTCTTGCCCTTCTTAGCCATCTTCGCACGTAATCAATGGTTTTTATAGTGTGAGCTAATCCGTGTCCACACAACTAACGCACAAATCTATTAGTGGTTTAGACAACGGATCCAAATGTTGTCATAATTTGAAATCCAATACAAAGAAAATCAATACTTTATTTCAAGGATTGTTTTTGAGGGCAAAAATCAAAACCCAATTTCCTATTCATTTACTGTTGTATTGAAACATAACTTTTAAAAGTTTTGTTATTTTAAGTTTAAATTACTTGTTATAACATTAGAAATGTAGTTTATTTTAACCATAATTTATACCTTGTTTATTTTTATAAACTCGTTTGACTTTAAATAAATAATTAAGAATTATTTGCCAATTTTGATCATGTTTATTTTTAAGCATGGGTTTTAATTGGCATTCAAATCACATTTACTTTTCAAATGACTGCAAAACTTTTATTGTATGAAAAAATATGTTTGAAAAATAAACCTAATTTATAATACAATTTATAAATTGCTAATAAACTCAATGTTTAAAACAAACCGAATTATAGATCCAATACTCAATGAATAATACAATAAGTAATTAGTAATTACTAAAACGTCTTAATATTCAACAAATGGTATGCTTTTCTTATTGTGATAAATAGGTCTGATATTTGGCTCGATTTGGTCGGGAATGGCATTTGATTGGTGTGTCTTTGGCTGTGATTTCTGAGCTTTCGTTGCGTTGGATGCGTTAGAAGTGTTGGCCGCGAAGAACGACGGTTTGTTGCCATTGAAGTACGCGTGCGAACGGCGCCGTTGCGAATCAAACTGTTCAGACATGTGGTAGAGTTCGTTGCGGTACCAATCGGTCCGTTCTTCGGCCACTTTCTTGGCCTCATTTATATCAACGGCTTTCAATAACACACTCCTCAACTCTTCGTTCAGATCCATTATCTTCTGCTCGTATTCAATGGCCTTTCGTTCCCATTCTTTGAGATGAAAATACTCTACAAAACACAGAAAAAAATTACTAAATTGTCTCAAAACTCAAGACCTGTAAAGTTATGGG